TATATATATGTGTGTGTGTGTGTGTGTGGCTACAAACTACTTATCAATTAATTTAGGATAATAATGATGAAGTTAATTATATATGTATAAACAGTGTTAATTGACAAAAAAAAGATTGTTGAGAGAATACGTCATGGTAGTTAACGAGTGCTGATCAGATTTCTAGTAATTCAACAGAATTTAATATATAAATTGGGAACTTAATTATAGCCTTATTATGTGATGTGAAATGGTATTGAAAGAGTCTTCTATATGATATTGCCATAATACAAGCTTTTAATATAGTCAAAATCTGTTAAAAATAAATGAGGTTTATACTACGGCAGCTTACTCACAAAGAGTGGAATCTTTATATTGACGCTCTACTCAATCCCACTTTCTGTGAGTGAGCTGCCGCATAGGCCAACCTCAACCAAAACTCTATGTATATCAAAGGGATCATGACACTGTACATATCAGGCGCCATATTAGATTTTTATTTATTTATTTATTTATAAAGATAAATACAGTTTTCAAGAAATTCAGAGAATTTATAAAATAAGTTGTTTGAAAGATAAAGACTAATGTAGCAGGTAGGATGATATAGACTCCCAACTACAAACCAAGAAAGAAATGGTGAAGTTTCCGAATTTAGTATCTTTCATCTGACATTGACAAAAATAAAAATGAGAAAAGCCACCGATCATGGCCGACCAAAGATGGATGCATTGTTGGTGATAGCCTCCCTCTCGAGAAAATTGACACGTAACAGGTATATACAACCTCTCTCACCATAAATACCCAATTTGAAACTTGGTGAACAATACTCATGCACGAAATGTTAAAAAGAAGAAAAATGTATATACACCCGTTACACGTAAATTTTTTTGTCAACGAAGATATTCCCTATCTTATAGTGTTACGATGAAAGTTTGAGTACTCTCCTCTAGTGTTACGATGAAAGTTGGAGTACCCTCCTCTTTCTCCTAGTAAGATCTTAAGTCACTTTTGAACCCCAACAAAAGATTTCAGGTCATGGATAATGCCCAGATGGAAGGGGCATTCTCATTTAAATTGTGGGTTGTGTGGTTCCTCCAGGATCAAATTTCTTGCAAATAGTAGGTCAGATGGCCCATTTCATGAAACATGTTGCAGCTCATTCGGCAGAAGAAAAATTAATAAGAAGAAGACTGGGGAACAAGAATTTGTGGCTCTGTACCCCATCTTTGGAGGACAAAGACTGATTACAACTTGAAGGGAAATGTCGATCGAGATCTTTAAAATCAATAAATTGAACTAGTAGGGTGGGGAAGCTTGCATGGTCAGTATCAAGTTGCAATTATCATTTAAGTATATGTGGCCGGTCAGGACGGAGCGTAGTTGTGTAAGGCCTATTTTGTGCTATTGAAGGCGAAGCTTGTGGCAACGAATGCTTGGTCAACAATTTGGGGTTACACTACCATGGTTTCATGGGGTTTCGAATCTGAGATTACTGGTCTACCAAGTCAAAACCTTTTTTCACTGGGCTAGACCCTGTTGACAACTGTCAACTGATTTTAATTACTTTTTAATAGGTTTGGTTGGGTCTTGGGGTAAAGAGAAAATGAGATGTTGGGTTGGGTTCTTCATGAGTAAGGGTATTTTTGGAACAAACCTTGGGTCTAAAAAAGAGATTGTTGGGTCCAAATAAAATTACCCTATGATTATATACTATCATTGCTGATCTTCAATACAAATTTCAAGTCTCTAAAACTTGATATTTATCAAAGAAATAAGATGGTATTATAAGCTTTTCATGTGCTTTCAAACCTATCTGCAGAAACAAAGGGATTCACTCTCCAATTACCTGACCCTATACCCCCAATGTGAGAAGAACTTTGTGACAGAAGTTGACCAACTTCGACCTTAATTTGGAGCTTAGTTGCACCATTTTTAACTCTCCCTCATTACAAAAGCAATAGGAGACGATCGTGTCAAAACTGTGCTGATTGTTGAGACCCAAGCATCTAGTCCAGTGAACTAAGCTTTCAGCTTATGGCACCAGGCAATTCAAACTGCTTGAGGATGACTGAGAATTGCTTAAAACATGTAACACATCTTAAACATCAGCTCCACAAATTTATAACACAATGAAAAGGATCATCAGTAAGTTGAGTTGTAGCAATTCGAGCTGCTTGGTGCTGATCGAAAATTGCTTGAAACTAAGATACCTCTTAAGAGCAGCGCCACAAATTTATAATGCGACAACAAGGATCATCAAATAAGTTGTCTCATTACCAATTAATCTTCAATAGATTTTGTATGGCCAGCCAACGGAAGTGCATGAACTTTAGTACCTCCAAATGTTTGTCAAAGAATGACTATAATCTGCAGTTCTTAACCATAACTAGTTTCTTCACAGCGTCAAGTTTCCACCATGCTATCGTATCCTTTGCGAGTCATAATCGGCTTCACCTTCATTATCTGCCTATATCTACTCTCTATACCATATTTTATTCTTCTATGCAGGTCATTACCAAGCGAATCGAATTCTCCAGCTGAATTTAATGCGTCCCAAACTAACTTATAAGTATACTCTCTAGGTATCGAGCCTCCATCGATCAACTCAGCAAGAAAATCCCGAGCCTCTATAACCCTTCCTGCTTCACACAAGGCATGAATGATTGGAGTGTAAGAACTTGAAGTGGGCATTCCATGTTTCATATTTTGCATCTTCCGTAACATATCAACCGCCTTATCAATCTCATTAACAGCAGCGTAGTATCTAATAAAGGAATCGTAAGTAACCCGATTGGGGTTACAACCCCTTCTGTTCATATCATCAAACAACTCCGAAGCCCTCTCGATCCGGTAGGTTTTGCAACAGCCATTGATCAAAGAATTGTAAGTGACAACATCAGGGACAAAGCCTCTGAAAAGCATGTTCCGGAACATGTGGTTTGCTTCCCACATCCGCCTCCTAGTGGCCTTCCTACACCCAGTCTCCAAGCCATATCTACAATAAGAACTAATCAAAATCGTATAAGTGAACACGTCCGGCGGGCATCTGAAGCCCGGCAACTCCATCTGCTCCAACAAAAACCGGGCCTTATTAAAATTCCCAACTCTGCAGAGAGCATAAATAATAGTGTTATAAGCATACACATCAGGTTTACAATGAAACTGCTTCATTCTATAAAAAGCAGCCAATGCATCAGTAACCAGTCCCTCCTCTCCTAGGACTTTTATCAAACACGTAATGGTCTGTGTAGTCACCAGCCCACCACTCCCTCTCTTCGATATTTCTTTAAGAAAATCCCAGAGGGCTTTCAAGTTATTCCCTCTAGCCAAAACAACGGCCATATCCCTACAAGTTTGCTCATTGTGAACAAACCCAAAATGGGTTTCGACCCAGTAGAAGAATTCAAGCGCTTTGTCCAATCCCAGCTGAACCTTGTGAAGGTCTCTGTGGGCAGCTGGGCCAAGAACGAGCACGTTGTTATGGAACCTATAAGATTCTTGTCTAAGATTGCGTTGCTTTAAGGGAGCGCGGTGTCGAAAGCCATGTTGGCGACCGATGGAGCGAGGGGACTGGAAGAAGAATCTGGGTATGGAGATTAAGACTTGGGAAACTGACTCGGAGGTCCATGGCTGAGAGTTGGTGGCTGAGGCAGCGAGCTCGGAATTGAAGGGTTGGTTTTTTAGCATGGCAGTGAGGACTTGGTTCACTACATTGGGTGTGTAATTGCGGCACAGAGGCTTCGAGTGGTTCATGTTTAGCGTTTTTTGTTTTCTTTCTGTGAAAGATTAACTGAGAATCAATAAAGATGCAAAATTGATTTCTGGGTTTGATGAGACGAGGGTTTGGTTAAGCTTGCCTAATTCAGCTTTCGAGTGGTTCATTGTTGGAGCTGTTCTAAGTGCTGGTTGGGGACTTGGGACTTGGAGGGAAGAGGAGGTTTTGAGTTGGGCTTTCAGTTTATAAGGGTCGGCCCATATAAAGTTATTTCAAAATTGTTGTCCTTTAATTTTTTGTTTTTGTATAGTAATTCTTGAAAAGGAATCACAAGAAATGCAATAAGCTGTTTCCTTTTGCTTTATAATAAAATTAGTGGAACCTGTTTGGTGTTTGATGAAGAGGAATGGGTGTGATGAATTGGTTAACACGCTTTATAATCTTCTTTTGCTCCTCATATATTGAGACGGAGTAAATGACACACAAACAAAGACTAATCTAAATTCATTAACCAATAACTCATAATCTCACATGCAAAATTCAATTCAAACTTTTTTCCTCACATATTTATGCATGTATAAGGATTGTTTTGTATTGAGGATAGACGGGGAAATGAGTTAGGATTAGGTTAGGTTAAGGGTTCGATTCATTAGTGAACACCCTTCATATTCTCATTCACAACCTCTACCTTGTTCCTCCTAAGTAAGCGGCCCACAAACGAAAGCCAATCCAAACCCATTAACCAAAAACTCCCAATGGGGCGAGTTATACACACTTATTTATGCACATATAAGTATTACTTCTCAATTGAGAATAGGTAGGAAAATGAGTTAGGATTAAGTTAGCTTAAGAGTTCAATTCTATATTATAGTATTGCGTATTCACCGGGTAGGAAGGAAGGTCGGTAAATGACAATTGGATTGGAAGAATGCTATTTATTTAACCCTAAAGCAAAACAAATCTTTACAAAGAAAAGCAATATATAGACTTCATTCTATCATACCCAAAAGGCAACCTTCTATCTTTATTTTCTTTATGTATATAAAAAGAAAGGTTATCCCTTCCCTCCCATTTTCATTCCACAACTACATCCAAGATCAAGTATCAACAAAACCTTTTGACTTGACCTACTTTTTGCCATCTAGTACCAAAAAAACCAAAAACAAACTAAAAACTTCTAAGTACTCTTCTTAGTTTTGTATGACTAGAGAGCTTGCCATAATTACTTAGTAATTAAACAATCAGCACAGTTGGGCTTGCCATAATTACTTAGTAATTAAATACAACAGTAAAAAAGCTCTTTACTATAAGCTTTCAAAAGAGCCCGAACCCGGCCCACTCAGCGTCACATACGGGTCGCGGGGAAGACGACGAGGACGTGGACGTGGGTGAGTCACGGAACGGTGAGAGCAGCGATTTCCGCGACGACAGAGACCACCGGGCCAGCGTCTCAAGGTCCGAAGTGTAATCGGGTTCGGACTCCGGTACGGGTACCGTTCTAGCTCCGCTCCCCCTTTTGCTATTGCTAGCTGACTTCCGCCTCAGAAGTGGAGACATGAAGCACCCGGCTGAAACGGTGTCGGGTCGTCCGGGTCGCCGGGCAAGGATGTTATCGGGCTGCTCGAATCGCCAGCGCTCGGACCGGGTTCGAGCGGCGGAAGCAGAGCGGAAGGAGCGGCTTCGGGTATGGGGCTCCGGTGGCGGCAGGAAGAGTGACCCGGATGGTGGGGGTTTGAGGTTAAGGTGTTTGTGAATATGCGGCTGTGGAGGTGGTGGCAGTGGTTGTTTTTGTTGTTGGGTTTGGATTTTGGGGACGCCGGGTCGGATTTCCCATTTGAATGGGATTGCTCCTGGTTTTGTGAAGGAGTCATCATAATCATCTATTGCCATTTGCTTCATTGTGTTGATATTGGATCATATGGATTTGTATGTATATATATATATATAGAGAAGAGTGAGTGTGAGGGGGCTGCCAAGAAAATTGAAAGCTTGGTCCCGGCGGGATTAAAGGCATTAAGTTGGGTGGGTGGGCCATAGGTGTAGATGGGTCCAAACATGCACTTGACTTTAGTTTATAGAATTTGAAATCTCATCCGTGATTGTGAGCCGTTGATACAAACGAGTTCTCGGCAATGCATTCACCAATAACTCTCACTTATATGTAAATGGGCACAACAATTTATCTATGGTTGACACTTGTCAACGTGTCCATTTCAACATTTAATACAAATAAATTCCACAATTTGATAATGTATCAACGACTAAGAGTCATCCAGATGACCGAAATGCCAAAAGAAAGCATTTCAATCATGGCACAAGCACAAGGCCAAGTGGACTTGGACAATTAGACACAGGAATCTTTTAGTCCCATGGCTGCTTGCTCTTAGACGTGACTTTTGCTCGTTGAGTAGTAATCTCCAGCACCCTATTGAAAGAGTCATGAAAAGATGTGCTTGGTGCTTGGTGCTTGGTTCTTTGCTTTTTAGACGAATCTGGAGGGAAATTTTGTCTCACAAAGATGCGTTTAAAAAACAGAATCATAGCATTGTAAAAAGCTTAAATGTTTTTCAACGGCATTGGTTTTATTAACAATCTTTTTATTCAACAATTTTCATTTGGGAAATTTGAATTTACTTTTCATCCAATTTAGAACAAAGTAGGTGACTCGTTTTTAAAATACTTCACGGGTAAATGAGAGTACAGAATTATTCATGTATGGTAGGTCGTAACACATGGCGTCACGGATTCACAGTTTGCCAAGGAAGCTGCCAAGTTTCTTTGATTTTCCTGCTCGTGAATCTAAATAAAATTAGGGTTCCTTCACGGACATTTTATCCAACAGCAACAAAGATATAACGCTTGTGTCCCCCTGTCAAATCCAAGCATGATTTTGACCCTGCAGTCTTAGTCTCATTGCTTTGGAAAAATGATGCATATTTCACTAAGGATCGGTTTCATTATGTAAACGTGAAAGGGACTTAATCATGTTGCTTTCAGAAATCATAATCCTCTACAATAACCCCTTATCATGTTTTCCACGTAATGCTCTGCTAATTCCAATTAGCTAAAGTTCTGGTGTGTTGAAAACAAAATAACTAATAAGCAGTGGTTGGTCTATTTCACAAAATAAGTTTTTTTTTTTCGGAATTTAAGAAACTTTGTTTCTGCAAGATCTAGCAGCATACGGGTCTGCATCCCGGTTCACAAGTGTACCTGAAACTACCTAACATTCCTATGAGAAATCTTCGGGCATGTTACACATAGCTCGCATTACACTGCTGGCAACATCAAGCAGCTGCAGGTACTCATCAGCACCGTCAACAAGACGCTGCACATAAACAGGAGCAAAAGTAGAAGTTTGCCCAAGATAAGCCTACATCAGTATATTATGCCCAAAAATGTAAAAGTTGATGTCCAGCATCTGAGAGAACACATCCTTTTTAGGGATCCAGCAGAATATCAGTCCTTTTAATGAATTTTGAATTATTGAACCTTATAATCTAACACATTTGACATGCCTATAAAATGCAATAATCCGGTCTTACCTTATCTGCTTCACCCATTTTTTTGCATATTCTAGCCTTCTGTTCATCTGATATGTCATCTGATTCAACCACCACCTCAAATAACTACAAGTAACCTTGTATTAGTGTTACAATCTTACATAAAAGAATAGACCACTAGATTAATTTAAAAGAGCAAAAGTAAAACCTGTGAAAGCATCTGAGAGACTGGATATCCCTCTGCGATTACATTGTTGACTTCCTTGTTTGCCAAATCAAAGTTATCACCCCTGCAGGCAGCAAAAAATGACTTGACAACCTCCTCCGGGATTACCTGAAGAACTCAAATAATAGATATCAGGACAAGGCAGGGATTTGATATAAAACAAAAATATATCTTGGGATGTCAAACAACTATCTGGATTCATTCTTAAGAGAGACCATTTCATGTTAAATCCTCAATCTAGGATCAAATACAAATCTCCCATCCTGGGATTACTGTACCTAGGACCCCCAATGTAGTGAGACGAACAATGGGTAATGGCTGGAGTCAGAAGAACATAAATGTTCTGCTGTAATAAGTTTCTTCAGTTGCTATAACAAACAAGAAAACAGAAATACTGAATAGTAATGAGACATTTACTGGTTATCTTGACAAAAGTTGCTAGAATTTGGGATTACAGGAACCAGCTGAGCAAGGATGCAACTTCAAATCAAAACATACGATTGCCCATTTGTTGCAACCACATAAACTTGTATGCAATAGCATCGAAGGTTACTGCCTGACATAAATAGATAAACAAAATCATCATCAAATTTTCCTCTCTTGTTACTTACCCCAGAGACACTAATCAGCTCTATCTTAGAAATGGAAGATCCAAATAAGCGCGCAGCTGACTGCAATATTTCAAATGTACAATTTAGAATTCAAGAATCATACCGTTATCAGTTCAACAATATTCTCATATCATCATACGCAGACCCCAAAAATATGCATCAAAACAAATATTAAATAAACTTAAAATATGGAGAAATTTTGGGGTGCTAAATTTCAAGAGACAACAATGCATGAAAGCCAAAGAAATTCTCAATCGAATTTCAACTAGCATCATGCTTCATGAAAAATGCATCATCAATTAAAAAGCAAAAAACATACCAAATACTTGACGTAAACAAGCTACCAAACAAATAACCCATTCAACATAGGCAGGCACAACAGTAACACATTCTGTTTCTTGCTGGTAGTTATCTCTCGTGTTTTTCAACAAAAGATATATCAACACGGAAAAAAAGGGCAATTTTTCATTGAATAACCCCCACTTACCTGCAAGTATGTAATAGCCCGACGAAGATCACCTTGTGAGATAGAACTTAGAGTTGACAGAACCTACAACATAGATCATACATTTTGTACGATGATGTCAGAAACCCAACACTCATGCAAAGATCCCCATTTTCAAAAAACCACAATATCTAATACAAGATTTAGTCATGTACACACCTCCGGATCTAGGTTGAGGCCTTCTTCTTGGCAAATATGCAATACACGGCTGATCATGATTTCTTCTGAAAGTGGCTTAAACCTAAACTTTGCACATCTCGAAGCAAGTGGCTCAATGATCCTGCAGAAAGACAACCCGATAGATCACCAACTGCAAGGCCTGCTCTTCGCTAATGTAAATGACAATTTAACAACAAAAGGTAA